GCTCACCTGGTGTCCAAGAAAGATGTCAACTTTGAAATGGGACCGTGAGTTTGAGCTTGACTGGCCCTTCCCTGACACAGTCCCCCAAGGAGGTCTGTTTGACCTCTCCATGCTATGGTTTTCATCTGCAGGAAGGGCTCTGTGAAAATGTCTAGGCCCCAGGTAGCACCACGTGGGATAGCAGATGAGAAGGCACTTGGCAAACGGCCTGCCCCTGCGCAATGTTGGTCCGACAGAGGCTGGGTCCAGCCAGGGGCAGACTGTCAAATGCAATCCTTCATTCCGACCTCACCACACCCTCGATTTGAGACAGAGCCCCTGGTGACGGTAAATGGACAGGGATAGCAAGCACCCTCTGTGTGCTCAGTCCACCCGTTAGCCCACCTGCTCTGATTTCAGGGCATCTGCAGCCCCCAAGAGCCTTGTTCCCTGCTCACACCGTCTCATTTGAGTCAGGCACTCTGCTGCACAGACCTTGTCCCCTCCATCAGCACAGCACAGTTCCTGCAGGTCTAGCTACCTGGAGTGTGGTCCCCGGACCTGCAGTGTGGTATGGCCTGGGAGAGATGCAGATTCTCAGGGCCCCATCCCAGAGCAGCTCCTAACTGCGTGTAAGCAAGACCCTGGCAATCTGCATGCTCATCAGAGTATGAGGAGCACAACCCAGCCCCAGGAGCACTGCAGGAGCTCTGGCTGCAGCAGGTGCCACCCGCACCCCTAGCTGGGATGTAGAGCACCTACCCCAGAAAGTGCTGCCAGGCCAACACCAGCTGCTGTGATGGTAGTTTTGTAGGTGAAGACACTTCAGACACTTTCCCTTTTTCTCTCTAACACATGCGACCACTGGGGCACTAGGTTTGGATGGAAGTAGACATTCAAGGCCTAAAACTACAGAGTGAATTTAGCTGAGTTCTGAAATGAGCCGAAGAGTCTTCCTCAGCTCCCCTGCACAGTGCTGCACTTAGAGTTTTGCATTTATCCTCGGGGTACCAGGGTAGGGAGGGGACAGGTAGGTATTCCAAGAAGTGAAAGAGGAGGTGGTAGAGTGGAGGCAGAACTCTTCTTGGGTCTGCATAGTGATTTACAAATCTCTGCAGCTTAGATGCAAGCTGGATGGAATTTGAAGGGCTTCTTCAACTGAGGGAGCTGTGGATTCTAGAGATATTGGACAGAGGCTTGCAGCCCAGTCAATACTAAATCAATTAATTTAGACTTCCAAATAGTCCTGTCCACTCACCCAGGGCTAGAGACTCGGCTCCCAGGGTGGAGTCAAAACTGCTGATGCCACTCACCAATCAGCCTGCGGCATTGATTGAGCACCCACTGTGGGCAGCAGCCGTGCCAGGTCCTGCAGGGAGGGGGCGAGGGGAACAGCAAATCGATAAGCTTTTGGAACTAGGAAGGAGGACAGTGTCCAAAATGCTGTTCAACAGCCTGTAGAGAGGAATCTGTCCAGTAAATGTCTACACGAACACTGCCTCAACAGATGAGTGTGTATGCTTTCTTCTGTTAGACAATTTAAAAGGAAAAAAAAAACTAATTCAATGAATAGCCCTCTTTTGCTTCAGCAACCCAAAGAGCCAGAGGAAATCTCAAATGGGGTGATCTACTTCTTTTGGGAGCCTGACAGCATCGGCTGCCTCCTCACCTCTTCAGTCATCTCTGCCTCTTTTTGTTTTGTGTTTTGGAGTGAAAAACATTTCGGTTCCTTTTTGGTCCAAGGTAGGGCATTAAGGACTCACACACAAGTAAGAGGTCTTTTCCATTTCATTTTGAGGGGCAGGAACAGGGTGTGTGGTCTCTCCACAAGGCCTCTGATTGGGGGGTAGGGGATCTTGGGTGTCACCCAGGCCATAATCACTATCCGGACCCAAGGCCCTTGTTCACAACACAGGGAGGCCAGACTAGCTCTGGAAGACTGTCAGGTGGAAAAGGATGTAGCAAAAGAACAAGAGGTACCAGTTAGGAGCCACGCTAAGTTTGAGAACAGTTGGAGTATGGGGTTCAAGAAAGAGGCCCCCCTGAAGCTTGGAGCCAGCTGTGCGCATCCAATACGACACTCACTTCCTAAGGCTGGATTCAGGCTTAGACTAGCCGAGTCCTTAAAGGACACACCTTAGCGTATGTGCCTGTGGAGACTGGGGGAATACTGGGAAGAGGTTATTCAAATTGTTGCAGATGATAGAAAAGATGGCGCCCAATGTGTGCCGTCTGGCCTTCCATGCAGAAGTGGAGAAACACAGGTCCCGTTGACCTCATCCCTCTGGCCACCCACCAGAGGTGTCCTTAGGGCGACCCAAGCTGGTTCTTAGCCAACCCACTGGTGAGGAGCTGAGCCGAGCTCAGCCTCGCCTGGCCCAGGACTGCCCAGAAGAGTTGTGATCTAAAGAGATGGTGATTTTTTCAAGTCACTAAGTTTGGGGTGGTTTATCTTATAGCAAGTGCTAACAAACCACCAGGTCGGAGGACAGGTCTATTCGAAGACCTGAGAGTTGGAACCAGCAAACCCCAGTTGGAGAGCAGGCTGGGGATTGAAGGAAGTTGGGGCCCTTTTTCTCTCTGTTTTCAAAGCTAGATGACTTCACGCTCTCCCCACTCTTCTGCCTCTGTCTCTATTCTCCTTTTTTTCTCTTTTTATCCATCAGGCTTCCAGCAGGGGCAGGAAGCAAACGTTCTCACTTGGCGCTGCACACCTGCTAAAGGGAGAGAGAGGATTAGCTGTGGTAGAGCAGGCAGGGGAACAGGATGCCAGATAATTAACCCATCCTCCCACCTACCCTGGCTTGCAACAAAAGGAGCCGGACAAATCGACCCAATGAAATTATCAGTGTTAATCTCCCAGCCCCTCCTTAACACTGTCCTCCTCCTGGCCAGCACCTGGCAGGGTCTGTTAAGCCGTCACATTCTCCCCTTCTCACCCCCCAGCCTGGCCCCTCTCTCCTTTTCTCTTTCTCAAGTTGTTACTGCACAGGCATCACGGAAGGAATCAAACAGGGACAGGTCCTATTGTTCAGCAAAGAGGCAAGAAAAAAATAATCAAAAAAGCAGGGGACTTAAAAAAGACCAGAATTATTTCTCAAATAGAATGGGAAAATCTAACATGCCTTATCACTACGGAGAACAAGCGCTGTGCAGACGCCCAGGCCTCTGACTGGCATGCCGGTTGTTTTGAATAGACGCATGACATTGTCAAAGAACCTGCCATTGTGTTGCTGAAAGGCACTTGCAACATTGCATAAAAATCAGGCCTTCGTGTCACCCTCAGACTAGTCAAAGCTGCTGTTTTTTTCTTTCTTCCTTTCTTTCTTTTTGAAAGAAGAAAGAATGAAAATAAGAAATGTCCCCAGAATAAGACCTTCAGAGCCCGGTAAATGTTATTTCTGAAAGACATCGGAAACGGGGCACCCAAGCAAAGCCACAACCAAAGAGGCAAAGATGCTGGTGGGGCCGTGGGGGAGGAGGCGGGTTTGGGGTCATCACAACTTTTCACATAGATTGACTTCTCCAAGCTTGCCTTGTTCGATCCTTCTAGATTTGGCCAACCTTACTGTCAACTCCTCTCTTCTCAGAGACTTCTCTGTGGGGTGTTATGTAATTTACATGTGTTGTTTTCTAAGACCTCTTTGGTGTTTTTATCCCTCTCACTTCTCAGAGTAGAAATGAAGTTTCGCATCCTGGGAATTTCAAAGGAATTGAAATTCATCTCCAGGGAATGTGCTTGTCTCCAGCCACCCTTGAATCATTCTGGGGAACTCATCCAGAGCACTTCCCAAGATTTGACTCTACCTTGCAAATGGCCGGCAGCTGTCACGGCATGCCAGAGAAACCCACAGCTGCAAGGAAAGGGTTTGATCCTCCTCTAGGTGAAGCAGATTCTCTTCTGCCCACCGGAGATGCTGGAACTTGGAAAAGTCATCAGGAAGGAGAAGTGTGCCCTGTTCTGGTTGGTCATTGCACCGAGAGGGAACTTTTACAGTTTCCTAAAATCTTACTGCAGCAAAAGGTGAAATTCAGGAGACTATGGAGAAACTTAGAGATTTGTACATGCACATAAAGACTGTACTGTGTTCCAATCGATTGCTGTCCCTCATAGTTGCACAGATTCCACCTTTAAGAAGGAAGAATTTAACTCTACTATTGATTTGGCTCTCTGTGCACCCTTGAGGAGGGGACAGGCTCGGCAACCAGCTCTGGGTGGGCAGTCTGACTGATGGATGCTCCCTAATTGCAAGCTTTGATTAGTTCAGCTGCTTCTGGATTTCTGGCTGTTAACAAATGACTCTTAGTCTCTGCCTGATGATCTCCAGTAGAAGATGAGAAGTTTCTTTGCACCTAAGGGCAGCCTCTTTAGCCTGCTGCCTTCTTCTCACAAAGTGGGGGATACAGAGAAAAGATCTGGGGACTGGAAGGGCGGGTCTTGAATGTCTTCCCAACCCACCACATGCTCTTGGGTTGACCACTTAAGTGCTTTAAGTCTTCGTTTCCTCATAGGTAAAATTTACTTTATTTTATTTATTTATTAATGCCCCACTTGTTCCAGAACGGATTTAAAGTGGCTTATCTGTAAAATGAAGGGATTAGACTAGATGATCCCTTCTAAGGTATCCTCCCAGCTCCAGCATGCTCTGACAGTCTTGTGTGCCACTTGACTTAGCAGAGTCTGCAGTTCAATTCCAAGTTAGAGGGATGCCAGCTGCCCCTCGAATGTGAGTGATTCACAGTCACGGAGAGACTGGGGGATTTAGTGGGGCGATGTGTGCTCTATACTGTGGTGCCACTTTGTACTTAGGGTTTCACATCAGCAAATCAAAGTCTGGGTATTAACAAATTTCATATTCACACACCTTTAATAGCAAAGAGTTTATATACTGGGGCAACTTCCAAGAAGTTCCCTACAAATAGTAGTTCTGCATTAAATGCCTATCAAAATAATACAGCCTTGCACCAATTCTCAGCCCTGTGGTGTCTGGGTCCAACCCTCCTCCACCCCCAGCCCCGCCCCAGCTCTGCCTATTACACAAGTGACAAAGGAGCTTGAAGTCCAAAGAATCCACTTGGGATACTGGGTTCTAAGAGAGACAGTGAGAAATGGCATTTTGTCCTGAGGAGGGTGATCGCGGAAAGGAAATTCTCAAAGTGGGCCTTCTTGCGATGTCTAGCTCAGAAGAAAAGACCTACCAAGTCTTCAGAGTTGCCATGAAGAAGAGGAGTCCACTGTGGAGCTGACCATCTGTGGGGTAGGTGTGAGATAGAAGCCCTGCCCCATCAGAGGCCAGGTGAGCACTGTGAAGGTACTGTCAGAGGAACCAGAGTCTTCTGTTGTTCAACTTAGCAAGCATTTATTGAACATCTCCTGGGAAGGAGGCTCTGCTATGGAGTAGGTACTGTGGAGGACACAGAAATGCAGAACTCCACTATTAACTAGGATTCTTCTGATTATAAGCAACAGAAGCCAAAAAGAGATATTAGACAGAATATAGGCACTTAGTGTAAAGGTGCATGGATGACCTTTATATAAAGGTACGAAGAAGTTGCTGAAGCAAGCTGGCTTCAGGTTCTCAGTCACCAGGAGGGTTCGTATCTTTGCTCCCTTCTGCATGGCTTTATGCTCTTCTTTCTCCTTCTCTCAGAAGCCAGTTTTATCTGCTTCTCCTGCCCTCGTCGTTGAAAACATAGCAGTTGACCTATTGCAGGCCTCACATCTTTCTGTTCAGTTCCTCCTTTTCCAGAAATGGGCACTAATTGGTCCAGCTTGAGCGAGTAGTCCAGGTACTCATCACCAACATCATGGCCCCTGGAGGACACTGCTGTCACCTGGGGATTAGACGTAAGTCAAAACAAACACCAGAAGGGAGAAGGATTGTGAAACAAAGATGGTCTACCCCAAGGGCACAAGTCTTGGATTCAGGATTATAGTCCAGAAGGGGCAGCAGACACATAAACTGTGCACTCCAGTAAGACTGACTATGGCACTTGCTTGAACAGAAAAATCTGGTCCGTTGCTGTTGATGGTGGACATGAATTTTTTATTTCGCAAATAATATATTAGATATTATTACTTTTAAAAAAAGGACCATCTCTTCATAGTTAGTCATGACATTCATCCTCGAGACGATGTCATAAATTTACCTCTGCTATAGAATTAGATGTGATAGTTTTGCAATGTTAGCAAAAATGAATAGGTACAACTTGCATTTTTCACTCCATACTTCTTGGAGAGCTAACCATAATAGTGCATGTTGGAATTTACCCTGTTCTTTTTAATGCATATTATTCTATTGTGTGACTACAATACAATTGTATTTGATAATACAATTCATCCACTCCTCAATTGATAGGAATCTGGGATGTTTTCCGTTTTCTTTTTAAAACAATGCTGTTATGGACATTTTTGTACATACCTCTTTGTACAATAGTATGAATGTTTCTTTAGTTACACTAAAGTGAAAATTGCTGAGCCATGGTGATGTACATTTGGAATTTATTGGCAACTGAAAAACTGGACTCCAAAGCAGCCGGCCTGATTTATTTTGCGACATTAATGTTTGAGAGTATGTTTCACTACAGTTAAACTTTACAAATATTTGCCATTCTTCTGAATGAAGGTGTATCTCACTTTTGGTTTGATTTTCATTCCCTGAATATGAGTGTGTTGGATTCTTGAGATTGCCTTCCTGGTGCACTCTCCATATTTCTCCATGCCTAGAAACCTAACATGTAAAAACTGCATCTTCCCATTAGATCAGCCAATTGAATAAGTTGGGGAGATTATTCCCTCTTCTGTGTCTCTTCCAGGTCCCACTGGTGAGTGCATCCTGCACGCAAAGCCACAGTTACTTTTAGACGGCCCTCTCCTTACAGTTCTCCCAAACTTCCGCTCTTTCTCTTGCACCTTCAGCTCTGAAGGGGTAACAGTTCCCTGTCCATCAAACCATTTATATCTTTGGCATTATTTTGCTACTTGTTTTATCAATTACTGGGAGGAAGTGTGGAAAAAAAACCACTATATTTGTGGATTTCTCTATTCCTCCCTTTAGATTTATCCATTTTCACTTTCTGTCTTTGAAACTCTGTTATTAGTTACATAGACATTTATGATATTAGGAATTTTTTGATGGTTTGACCCATTATATAAGGACTTTTTAAACTTCAGTAATATTTTAATCTTGAAATTTATTTTTTTCTGATAGAAACATTGCCATATCAATGTTCTTATGCTTATTCTTTACAGTTTACATATTTTCAGCTTCTGTATGTCTTTATATGTAAATATTTTTAAACACTATACAGTTGGCTTTTTAATGCCTTTTTGGAGTGGAGGTGATACATGTTATTATATATAATATGTAAAATTTAATATATAAAAATATAAAATTATTGGCCTAGGCTATTGTACCATCCCTTCTTTACTTAGGGTTAGTTCACACCTTTATAAATAGTTCCTTCCTTAAACTATCCTCACATTGCCTTATTTTACCCTTACTTTCTACTGAGCATTTAGTGATAAAACCAGTGAGGTGGTCATCCACTCAGGTTTCTATTGACCTATAATGTCTTCTATTGCTGGTTCATATCTTCTGTCTGCTCTTCTAGAGAGCTACTGTCTCTTTCTTTCTAGAGTGGCTCCTTAACTTGTCATCAGTCTTTGTCACATAGCCTTGATAATAATAAGCCACTGTTGCTATGTTGCAAATATCTTTTTCAAGTATGTGCTTTGCCTCTCAAACTTTCTCCATGGAATCTACGTGACCGGTAAGTTTGAATTTTGATGTCATATTTATCAATCTTTTTACTCAATGTCAGGGATTATTAGTACAGTTTCCATGAATGGCCAGATAATAAATACTCTCAGTTTTATGAGTTATATGGTCTCTGTACAACCATTCAATTCCACCACCGTAGCACAAAGCAGCCATAGACAATACATAAACAGAAAATGTGGCTGTGTATCAATACAACATTCTTTTATATATAAAAATAGGTGGTAGGTCAACCTTGCTCTATATATTTTGCTTATTTTTACCTATTTAAAAAGGTCCTACTACTTTAATGTCATAAATAAATCACCCTATAGTATTTTCTAAATATCATGGATATTTTAATGTGCAAGTTTTTAAACTATTTGTAACTGCTTTTTGTGACTGGTAGAATCTACCTCCATATTTTTTCTCAATAAATAGTCAATTGTCTGTATAATATAAATATATTTATATATAATAAAATATAGTAATATATTATATATTTCTGGATTGGTATTCAAGTCTATCAACTTGTTTGCCTACTTATTTGGTCAATACCACAGAATTTTACTGTTTTAAATACATTTAGAGTAGGCTTTGCTATCTGAGAGGGTAAATCCCTTTTTTTATTCTTTTACCTTATTTCCCAGATACTTATTTTCAATATGGATTCCAAAATTATCTTATCAAGTCCCCTCAAATGTCCAAGAAAAATCATATTGGGATCTTGATTAAGAGTTCATTCAATATTTATAGATCCATTTGGGGAAAATGGACATCTTTGCAATGTTGAATCTTCTTTATCAGAAGCATGGTAAATGTCTGCATTTTTCCAGGTTTCCTTTTATGACTGGGTTGCATGTAGTATTCTTTGGAGAAAGAAGACTGACTTCTCCACTTTGTCTGCTAACTATGTCAGAGTAGCCCCAGGCTGACTGCACTATCTCATACTTTCCTTCCCACTTTCTAGAACCGTCTAGGAAATCACCACTAACTTAGTTGATGTAAAAGAGGAGACTTTATTATTCTAGGATTATTCTGGTCCCTAAGAAACCATTTCCTTTGGTACATACAACTCCAAGTCACTGGGACAAATACCTTTCATATTCAGAGTGTCAGGAATCACAGAAGACTTGGATCTAGGTAGTGAGGATGGTATGGCCATGCATGTAGAGTCACCCAGCTAAATACAGTTGCTGGAAGCCTTTCAGCAGATCTTGAGTAAGTGATTACCATAAGCCAGGCACTGTGTTGGCCGCTAGGGCACAGAGAGAACTACTAGTCTTGTAGTCCAGGATTGGGGGATCACAGGAGGAGGTTCAGCCAATCAATGATCCAGCAAAGCTCTCTGGAGTGGATGGTGCCTACCTAGGCTGAGTCTTGATGAAAAAGGAAGATTAAGTATAGAAAAGAGGGGCCTCCCTGGTGGTGTAGAGGTTAAGTCTCAGCACTATCACTCCTAAGGCCTGAGTTCAAACCCTGGCCAGGGAGTTAACCCACATGTCACAGCAGCCCTCTCCTGTTGTGCCTGCTGCTCTCCTCAGCAGTGTATTTCAGTGGATCTGCCTGTATTTCAGTGGATCCCAACTCTGTTTCTGCTGAATCCTCACACCTTCCCCCCGCATCTATGGCCTACACCCCAGTTCTTCTATGCAAACATAAATAAATAAATCTTTAAAATAATAATAAACTTAGAAAAGAGGGGAAAGCTCTCAGAAGGAGAGTCCTACATAAAATCATTGAGAAGCAGAACTTGGATTTTGCAGTACAGAAATTAGAAGCATAGCCAAAACCACAGAGCACAAAGCAGGAAAAAGGCAGAAGGTGCAGCTCAGGAGATAAGTAGGGGTCACAGAGTGCCCTGTCCAGGGCTCCATGGGGCAAGCTCTTTTGTTTTCCTTGTAAGTAGTTGGGAGTTATTGAATTTTCTTGGAACCTAGCAGTGGACTTGTCAGAGATGTTTATGAAATCACTCACTGGCTAAGTATGGAGGATGGATTTTATGGTTGTGAGACAAAAATCAAGGAGACCATTGAGGGAGGATTCAGTCATCCAGTTCAGATAAGACAAGGTTGACCTGAACTAAGAAGGGAGGAAGAGGCCATGCCCCTAGCCAGCTGTGGCACGTGGTTAACAGCACAGTCCCGGAGCTGGTAAACCCAGTCCCTACTGGGATGCAGGCAAGACTTATTTTTCTGCCTCTGCTCCTCATCTCCAACATAGAAATGTTATTTTATTAATGTATTGTGAACCCAAATGAGATAGCAAGCGGCTGCCACTTAGCAGATGCTCAATAAGCAATAGTTAAGGGGCTTGAGGGGAAGTTGGCATGGATGGTAGAAGTCACTGCCATATGCATTGCGTTTGTCTGAGGACTGAGTCTACTTACTTTTATCTAAAAGGGCAGGGAAAATGAGATGCAAGTAGCTGGCCTTGCAGAGGGAAAGTAAAGAGAAAAGGTTTGGTAGACCAATGGAAGGAAAAGAATGTTCTTTAGGTTATCCAATAATAATCTTGGCTTGTCGGTAGTTAGCAGGTTTTGGAATAGTGAGTGGCTCTAATTTCCAGTGGAAGACAGGATCTATCATGTCCACGGCTCTGGAGATAATAGATGGTCTAGTCTGGAGGGAGGGAGGAAAAGTAAGGGTCCTCTTTTCCATGAAGCACAGGGGCCAGGAGAGCCCAGTGAATGAGGGAGTGTGGGAGTTGGGGGGGCAGGATATGGGAGTTAGGCTGGACCAGGAAGAAACAAGAACGTTGTCTCAGAAAACCTGGATTTGGATTTTGGTCCTGCCACAACGGTCTGTTATGATTCCTTGAGCACTTATAACTTGTCTGTGCCTCAGTTTCCTCCTTCACAGAAAGGGAGTGATAAATAATAACATAATGCTCTGTAATAGCTTTCTTTACATAGTTGCAACATTCAAAAGAGATGGTAGAGGTAGCAACACCATTAACTATAAAATGGTATTTAAATGTTCGTTATTATTTTGCTAAGTGAAGGTGGGGCCCTGGGGCAAGGCTGGGTGTCTGGGAGCTGCTCCACACCACAGCCCAGCAAGCCTCAAGTCCAGG